CTTGAATGTTGGTCTCTTGCTGGGCTCGTAACTCCAGCACTGAGACATCAGGGAATATAATCTCGGTGGGCAGTGATTAGGGAGCGCGAGTCTCTCCCCGTTTTCCAGCTTGCGGATCACTTCGTTATTTTTCACTCCTTGGAATGGTTTTACGCCCAACATTAGAATCTCCCACATACACACGCCTGAAATGAGGATCATGGGTCGTGTCAACGCGACAGAATAAAGTCAACGCTCGTCAAGTCAATCGATTTCAGTGATAACTAACCGAACATCCAAACGTCGGACGAAGTCGTGAATCTTCGAAAGTTTATACTCTCCGGTGCCATCCATTTGATTGGCAGTTTGCATTTGCTGGCGGTGTAGTAACTCTGATCTTCTACCCATCTACTGAGGCCGAAATCCGCCAGCTTGACGCAACTATGCGACGAGACCAGCACGTTTCTCGCAGCGATATCTCTGCGATGAGATTGCGGATATTAGGCTGCGACGTTCGACTACGAATTTACAAGCGATGTCACATCGGTCGCGAGTACCTGTGCACAAACTTCTTGCTCTCGAGGTATGACAGGGCGGTGCTTAGTTGGAAGGTGTACAATAGAAGCGTAGCGAGATCCAGACGATGTTTGTTGGACTGCAGATAAGCGCGCATTTCTCCGAGTCGAGCCAGTTCCATCACGAGCCAAATTGGCGGCCCCTCGGAGCAGACTCCGATTAATCGGATGATGTGCGGATGCTCGAACTGCTGCATGATGTCTGAAATTGCATTATTACTCCAAATAACTAGCCATCGGAAACACACACACACACACACACACACACACACATACACACACACACACACACACACACAAACACACACACACACACACACCCACCCACCCACCCACCCACACACACACAAACGTGGTAATGTCCCTCCGCCGTTTTCACTTATACTTATACTTATACTTACACTTATACTTAGCACACTGACAAAAATAATCTGTAATTAGCTTACAAGCTTCCTCGAGAAACTTGTCGGCCGTGGCGTCGACCTTGCAGGTCTTCACGGCGACGGCGATAGTTTGGCCATCTCTCCCCTTGTACGAGCCCTTGTGAACGTTACCAAATTGACCCTCCCCTATGATTTCACCTAATTCCACCTGATTTCGTATTATCTCGTAGTCCCGAGCTGCAAGGAAAATCGATGATGGACTTAAACTTATTCTCATTATGTACATAAATGAAGTAAATGAAGTAAATGAAGCAGCAACAACGGTACATTATGAAGAAAGAACGTTTGTGTAAGGTGAGCGAACGCTCAAGACTACTGCTTAGCTGTACTCACTGGCTGGCGTCGAATAATCCCCTTCCTCGTCGACAATTTCTGCATAATCTTCCGACAAGATGGTCCCAGTCTTACCGGCGTTCTTCTCGGGACTGCTGGCACCATCTTGTCTGTATTTTGGCGCTTTCGCGTCTGTAATGAAAAGAATCACAATTTCAGACGAGCATTGCTTAAAATCATATCATATACGCAAAGTATCTAAAGTCAGAAAACGATGACACTCCTCATTTCTATTACCTTTGCACGGACAGGGATAATTCTTCCACGACCCAGCTTGCAAGCACAAAATGCAGAATCGCGTGAAGAAGTTGGAGCTCAATAAGAGCCAAGAAACTTGGTTTATTTTAATCAATCAAGTTTGTCAAATAATAAATATACTAGATATAATATAACAAAATATATACTAGATATAATAAAGAACAAATAACAACGAGAAGTATACTCGGTACAACTGTATGAATAATATGAATAATGCGACTGGTACGACGGTACGACTGTGGTTGGTGTGTTGAAGAGCATAGCATTGAAAAGGTTATTACGAAGGGAGATGACGTAACAATAACGATGACGATTTCGTCTTACCTTTCCTATTCCACAGCGAAGTGTTATTGCCAGTGACCAGTCTGCAATATCCGTCAATCAAATCCGCGAGACTCTCCGCCTGGTCCAGACTGGAACAAGTGATGCTGAGAATCTCCGCGGCCCCGGCGACTTTCAATTTAATACACGCCTTCGCGTGGTCCTTGCAATCCGCGACTAACGTCTGAATAGATTGTATATGCGAGAATTCCGCCATTCTGGTCGGCTGTAACAGAGTTTCGTTTCCGTTTCGAGAAACTGTACGGCCGCGAGAGAATCGGCACGGAGAGGACACACGCATGTGCGATTGGTGAACGTACCACTGGCCCACCTCCATGAGTTATGTAAGATATGCCCAGGTCCGGTCCGATGACTAGCTCCACGGGTACTGACCAACTTGACTGGAGGTTTACAGGATAAAAGTTACAAGTGGGACGTCGTGTAATAAATACGAGAGTCGAGAGTAAAATATAAAATGGGCATATTAATGCCCTCATTTCTCGCATTTATCATCCAAAGTATCCGAAGGAATACGCACGCAAGATTTGTATGCATTATCGCTTACCCCTAAGGCGCATATGAACCTTTCCTGATCGAATCGATAATGCGAGCGCAGCAGGTCGAAGAATTTGAACATACATTCGGGCTCGGATAACGCCGCAACTTTCTTAAAATGTTGCTGTATCAATTTTCGGAGCGCTTTCGGTTTCATGCCGTTTAACACGGAGCGCGGTAGAAATTTGTGCAGGCCGATCTGTAGAGAGAGAAAAAAGAAAGATGCATCCTCTCTTCCGACATATTCATATTTCATCCGTCTCGCCTCACTCGCGCGTATTGCGACAAAAGGTACGGGGCGAGGTGCAGAGATGCGCAGCTCGCGTCGTTGTTCAAGCAAATCCTATAACTATTATTCTACCTCGCGCTCCAGGTATTCCAAATTGCTCTTTTTGTCAAGTGCAATTTGCTGCATATCCTTGAAGAACTTGCGAATCTCCAAGCAGCACAGCTGAACCGCGACATCTTGATCCAGAGCGGCGTGATTCGCACACAGGTAGTCGTTTCGTACCTGCGAAAGGAAAACGCGAACGCGCGAAAATTTATATAATTTATCACGTCGTGAGCGACTCGCGCGAGCGTGCTCACCACACAGATGTATCTCCTCGTTCGTGGCTACGAGATCGTCGACTGATATATACGTTATCGTACCTGATCGTAGTAGTAGTGAAACGTGACCTTGTCCTTCTCGTAAAGATCGTTGAGGTTTTGCGGCAGGTAACGCACTCGGAGTTCGTATCTCCATTCACTATGAGGATGTTTCCGTTCGTATTTTTCCTGCACCTAAATCCACACACGCACACACACACACACGTGAAAATTGCGTCGAGAAATACGCGTCGGATACATCGGATACGGTTACATAACAAATTGAGCCACACCTGATACATCGTTGTATCCTGATGCAACCAATAACTCTCCCCGGATCCGGGATGGTGAAGCCTCATCGCGTACAGATTCTGGTAGTGTCTGGCACCGACAGCTAGTCGACTGGTGACCAGAGAGATGATACCTCCAACATCGATCGCATCGATGAATTTGACGACGTTGAAGCCACCTGAATTACGACACGCGGAACCGGGTAACCGATGCGATTCCAGATGATATTTGCATTTGTATGTCATGTTCAACGTAAGTCTCTATAGATTAGATTTTTTCGTCTAATCGATATTTACAACAAAGACTAGTTAAACGGAATAAAATACGAAAATTGTATACGCATTCTTCTAACACGGAAAAAATATACCATATATATGCGTATATGTATATTTTTTTTTATTTAATTTAAAATTTCTTAAATTTGTTTTCATCTCGTCGACACAATCTACGAAAATCTACGAAATCTATGAATCTACGAAAAAGCAAACAAGTCGCGAGAGGGAAAGGAAGGGAGGGGGAGGGAGGGAGGGAGGGAGGGAGGGAGGGAGGGAGGGAGGGAGGGAGGGAGGGAGGGAGGGAGGGAGGGAGAGAGAGAGAGAGAGAGAGAGAGAGAGAGAGAGAGAGAGAGAGAGAGAGAGAGAGAGAGAGAAAAGGTGTGAAGAAAGATACATCATAAATGGTAGAAGCAAAATAAAGTACGGATTATAATACGGATACTAATACCGAGGTGAGGCTTACGTCGTTCTCTAAAATGACGAATGAGAAACAAGCGGTCGCGCTGTGTGACTTCTCTCATATCTTCATTCGATACATCATCGTGCAAGCGTGCAAAATAGGCTCTTTGACACAGCCTCATTTCGTAGCAAGACTCAACTCACCGTTGGGAAGATGAACCTTTAAGGTCGCCTTATCCATGGGGGTGGGTGAACCATGCGGCGGTGTATTCCTACCGCCGCCGCTACTCTGGACACCGCCTCCACCTCCATCTCCTGTTCCAGTGCTCATTCCCTCATGGCTGAACAACCGAGAAAAGAACACAACTGGCTTAGCGCGGACGATACGTTGCGAATCATGTCGCGTCGTCATCATATTATATTTTGCAAATTTGCTCGTCGTCGCGCACGAGCGTGAAATCGCACACATCGGTGAAAATTAAGTTGTTGCTGTTGCTGTTGATTATTAAAGCCTTATCGAATACTACTTGTACTATCGTGAGGTATGTCCAGCATTATCGGGGAGCGGAATCGTTTGACATGTCGCAAGATGAAATTGCATGCTCTTCGGCCCTCCTTAAAAAAATTGCTCTCTCAAATGCGACATGAAAAGAGCGAATGTTGGGTACTCTTGATATAATTTCATAAACTCGCTGAAAATTCTGAAGGCGTTGTTGCCGCCTCCTTCCCTCCAGTCATCTGATCCCATACGGCATATGGTCGAGTGTGAACACGAGAAGCAGATCACCCTGCGAAATGGACCGGTGGTCCTCTACAGCTGATGTACCTTCAAAGCTGGAAGTTGAAAGCTTCCAATGCTTAATTAAAAAGTTGTCAGCAATGTCGGAGAAACGATTGACGAGTAGAGAGCGGATAATGCTTCGATTGATATTCTTCCGGAGTCGGATCGGTCCGGCCTCTCTTCAAACCGCACAGATTGGCGCCCATGACGCCAATTAACAATCTTCGACACAACGGACACATCGATAGAGATTATTTTAATTTCTATCAACTCCAAAGTAGTCTCGATCGCACAGACTCCGATCGCAGTTGCTTTCTGAGTGTTCTCAATGAGTGTTCCGCAAGAGCCAATAGAAGGATTTCCGAAGAAGATTGCTGCGACAGCTCCGCAGTGCAGTCGCACTGGCCATTCAGAGAGATGGGAAAGTCTTTGGTGTTTGAAACACCCCGTTAATGGAAGCTACGTGCATTGGCACTTGCAGTGGAGGACAATCGTATCGTTGAATATCTAGCTATACGGAAAAAGTCCGACGTCCTGACGTTACCGCTACTGTGTGACTGTCAGGCAATTATTGTTCATGTTTCAAATTACAACAGTTACAGGTACGAGCAACAGTCCCATTGCATGACATCACCAACTGATACACCAACGCTGACGCTAATATGCAGCTAACGCGGCTAATAGTGCAAACGTGCGTGCACTGGAGTGTCATGAGAAAACACGACACTGACAAAACGCACCGTCAAATACGGCCACAAGGAAAAAATCACCAAAATCCACACATATAATAATTGTTCAGGAGTAAAAGAGTTGTGAGTGCGGTTAATGGACCCAAACGCGACGTAAGTACGCTCAAGTCACTAAGAAAAAGAGTCGATTGAGCATGTTAGAGGGTCTAACGGCACTTGTGCAATTTGGTACAACACGCGTGTGAATACAGTGGAGTGTTGTGTGTGTGTCGCGAACGGCAGACTGAAGCAGACGAAACAAGTCGCGAAAGCACGCGTTCGACGTCAATTACTCTCATTAGAGACGAAATTTTTCACTGATCTCGATTGTCTCTCGTGAGAGAGAGAGAGAGAGAGAGAGAGAGAGAGAGACTTTTCTCTCTCTCTCTCTCTCTCCAACACCGCTCGCTCGCGAAAAAGCTCGATTCGAACTCGTATTTTCGTGATTTCTTCCGCTCCGATGTAGCGACTTCGCCTAAATAACCTCCTAAAAAGAAAGTTGAAAAAACATAAGTTAAAAGTCATTTAGATAATCGAGAGAACAGGGTTTCAAGATAGAATCTGAGTCATCGATATCTCGAATGGAAAGAAGCCCATGTATAATCGGGACGGCATATTATATAATACAGATTATATAATATAAAACTGACTGTCGCGCACTGTGGCGAAGAGAGCGAAAAGTCGCGCGTAATAATTTCTGCGGCGATCCGAAAATCGCAACAACTGCGAAGTGATTCGCGTCGAGACGACCGTCGATGCCGCGGCGCCGCATTCGGTTTCTGAACGATTCTTCGTCTCTCTCACCCTGAACGACTGAATTCGTGTTTCGATTCGCCGAGCACGTGCGTTTGTGTCCATCTCTCTCGCGGCCGCGACAAATGCGATCTCGACAAATGTCATCTCCACCAACGATGGAACTGTCGCAAGAAATTGCAAACGAAGAAGTCGCAAATGAGATGAGAAGCGATAATGCATCCCGCGACGCGGGAAGTCGCGAGACGAATCATCTCTCGCGCGGCTGAGACCCCGTCGTTGTCGAATCGCGCAAACAGGTGAAGTCACAACGGCGGCGCCGCGACCAGCCGGCGAATCAATGATTGTCGTCAAACTGTGCCCGCGCCTCTTGAATTGGTGAATAAGAACGAGACAATTGTCGTGATGATGTCACCGAGGCGCGCCTCGACCCAACGGTCAGCCTCGGAACGTTATTGTCTCCGGCGACGAGAGCGATCGTCGTTCGGAAAGGACGGATGATTAGGGTCTTCTCTGCAAACCGGTTTTTTTTTCGTGACGTCCGTTGACGCGAACGTTGAACGGTTGTTTAATCAAAGCTCTCGTTATTCGTCACTGGCGGTCGTTTCCGCTAAACTCTCTAAGCTCTCATCATCGAGTCAAGTTCGAAACTGAGAGAGAGAGAGAGAGAGAGAGAGAGAGAGAGAGAGAGAGAGAGAGAGAGAGAGAGAGAGAGAGAGAGAAAAGCTAATCCGAAAGAGCTCATTAACATGTCGCGAAGAAAAATGTCGACGTGGACGCGTAAACTCGACGCGATTGAGCAGCATCCCACCACTCGCGCGAGATTTATCGCTGCAACATTTTAAATGCTGCTGTCCCGCGTGTACAGGTAATGCGGCCGGTGGCCGCTATGGTAATCCGGACCTCTGTACGGCGAGCTTTCCGGAAAGTATAACTCGCGCCTCCTGATTCTCACGAAGAGCCTGGATTCAAGACCTCGAGAGTCCCAGCCTTTAACGGTGCAGCTTTCAAGCTGAACGCTGTGAACCGGCATTCGGGCATTCGGGCATTCGGAATATGCGCCCGTGCCTGCGTGCGCAACCTACATCTTCTAAATATTGGTCCGTCGCGCTAAGCAACCCTTGTTCGACGTATGCTTCTATGCGAGAAAATATTTACATATTCACATATGTTATACCTTCGTGAGAAGATGAGATGAAATGTCCGCGTAACTCTTCAGCTCCCAGAGTCATGAAAGTTTTACGAATATTAATTAGCTGTCAATCGCTGAGTGTGGTTCGACATTTTTCAGTAGCGAATCTCATCTATACACAACATACAATGTCCAAATTCTCCTTGAAGTGAAATCTCATTCAAAAGAGTGACAATTTTCACTCGAGGCGATCAGTCGAAAATACCACAACACTCGGCGATCACAAGCGCGAATGTCATCAAATTTGTCATCAAATCGTCAAAAATCATTTTGTTTCAGAGACGGTGAAGTGCAGACGAGTTCAACTCTTTGAGTAAAAGAATCTATTCTACACGAGCGAAAAATCACTTTCGACTTTGAATAACTCGGCTCTCGCCGTGTTCTTCGAGTAGAGTTTTTCACTCCACCCGAAGCAGTCGCCTAGATACCATTTAAAATCCATTTAAAATGGATTCGAAACCGAAACGACTGACAGTCGAACCTTCTTCTGACTGACCTAACATTAAATGTTTTCAAATCATTGACACGTATACGCGGTACCGATATAATAATATGCGTTTTGTTACATACTCAAGTAACATACGAGCACTCAAGCATATTCTTACTCGCTTATTTGGCCGTCCGTTTTCGGACACCGGATGTCGCCAGGTAATAGTACAATGATTCCGCACATCACTTGTGTACTTTGTATTTGTGTACTTTGTGACAAACAGCGAAATAATCTCCGGGGGTCGGAAGTTTCCCTCGTGATGAGACTCGCGATATAGTTTTACTTTCGAGGTGATCGAGACACCACGGAGCGTTACGACGTGGAGTGTGTTTGCATTGCAGCTATTAATGCAAATGTATATTACGAGCGACGTCCGGCTGAGGAATGCCGTCGGTCAGGGACGAAGCGCTCGCACTGAGAACCACCGGGACGCCACCGGTCGATCAGCAGGCGACGAATTCATATTCCCTGCGCAGGAGCGCAGGAGTCGATTTGCCTCGAAAAATTGTGTCGCCGTGTCAAGTTAAAAATTTCTAATTGACGAGAATCAGTAAAGCTTCTCTTTTTCTTTCTTCTCACTACAAGTGTGTCGAGACTGCGCAAAAGAAAAAATTAAGATCACACGTTTGTCACGCCTTGTTGTTGACGTGTTCGTGCGACGTCACGAAAAAAAGGAAACAAAAATAAAGATGTTCGTATTTCGATTTCTACAGAGAGATCTTCCACGTGATTTGCTTTGCCGTCACCGCTCATTGCTGGATGGGCAAAGTCTGGTGGTGCGCTACAAAATCAGCAGACACGAATTCATATATGATTTGCGCGCAGCGCGGATCGGACTTGAATGTCGCCGTCATGGGTTTACGCGTTATCTCGTTTATGCCCGGATTTCGATACTAGTCGCGGACTTCCCATAAAAAGTCAACGAGTCAACTCCATCCTGCCGCTGCCGATATCCGATTTATGCACGCACCGCGCGAAAGTTCATCTGGTTCTTCGTGTAATGTTACACCTATCCGCGAGTTACGAGTGCGCCGTAATCCGACACGGTGCGCGTCCGTAAATCATCATCGCGGATCGCAATTACGCGGATAAAAATATAGGAATACGGGAGGCAGCCCGCGGGAGGGTATCATTGTACGTTACGTATAAAGAGGTCAGAGCTCGCCACGCTTCAACGGAATTAACGTTATTGTTGCGTAACCCCCGCCCCCCCCCTCCTTCTTCCTATATCCCCCCCCGCCCGCCCCATTGTAGCGCGACAGGATTTCGCGAGGAAATCAAGGAAATCGTAATGTTAAAAAAGAGAAAGCACAAAAAAAAGGGATCGAGAAGGAAAGAGAGTCTTCAATGTTCATCCTTTTATGTTTATTATTAATCTTCAATGTTTATTCATTCGC